CACGACACGGACTGGGATCGATAGGAGAGGCGCGTGCACACTCCCCATTCGCATCGCTCACCAGGCAAGGCACACCGAGCCGTGTCGGTCTTTGTCAGAAGCGAACTGGCCCACAAATGATTGCTCGACGAGTGTGGAAATGTCGTCTTCTTCCTCCTCTTATTCTTCCTCCTCCTCCTCTTCTTCTTCATCTTCTTCTTCTTCCTCTTCTTCCTCTTATTCTTCATCCTCCTCTTCTTCTTCTTCTTCTTCCTCTTCTTCTTCTTCTTCTTCATCTTCCTCTTCTTATTCATCCACGCGTTTGTGCCACTCACGTGGAGTCCACTGCCCGTGGCAACCTTCTCTCTCCGCGCCACCTCTTTTTCGGCCTTCCTCTTCATCTCTTTCCTTCCACTTGCATCACTTGCACCTTCTGACCCCACATCGTTTGCCCTGTCGTCTCGCAACACGACCCGAACCACGCCAGAGCCCCTCCTCTCTCTCTCTCTCTCTCGTCTTCTCTCGTGATTGATTCCACCTTGCGTCGACCTCTCGTCTCTTCAAATCTCAGCCCTTGTCCTTCCTTGTGAAGCCCAACATCCACCGCAACATCCTCCCTCTTGCTCGTGCCCCAGCAGCCGGCCACGTACAACAGCACCGTCTTGAACACGTTCAAACAAAACTGGGACCCTCTGATCGTACACCACACCGGTCGCCTCTCGCCCTCTCAACCATCCAGACGTTGTTCTTGTCCTCACCTCTCGTCATCCATCAGCACCACATCGTTGCACCCAAGGACTTGAACCCGTTCGTCTTCATCAACTGGTCACTTCCGATTTGAAATCCCCCTCCTGCATTATTGCCACTAAAATGTGCCACCATGCACTCCGTCTTTGTCCGACCGATCCGCAACCCCATTCCCTGCAATCTTTTAGCACCCAGATCCTCAAATCATCGTCCACATCCCCTCTGATTTCGCCATATATCACAATATCGTCTGCAGGGTGGGGGAGGGGGGGGGGGGCTCCCTCTGAATGTATCTCGTTAGTGTGTCCAGCACCAGGAGGACGGAGCTCAGGGCAGAACCTTGCTTCGCTGCCGCTTTCACTTAAAAGCTCCCCGACACCCGCAGCTGCTTCGCACATGCATTTTTCCTCCTTCATACATGTCCCGGGTCAGCCGAAGCATGGAAATGTATAGCAGCCACTGACTGTAAACGCGTGATGTTGATTCTAAATGTGGAGTGGGGAAACTGGAGGACCCGGAGAAAAATCCACGCGGCCACAGAGAGAGAGAGACACGCAAACTCCAAATATACAGCAGCAGCAGACGTCAGGGTCAAGATCGAACCCACGACCTCCTGTGTACTAGGGGAGGGAGTGAACATCTCACAACGGAGGGAGAGACATGCAAACTCCAAATATACAGCAGCAGCAGCAGGCGTCAGGGTAAAGATCGAACCCACGACATCCTGTGTACTAGGGGAGGGAGTTAACATCTCATAGCCACCGTAGCGCCCCTTGTTGGCAATCAACTGCTGGATGAAGCCTCCCCCCCCCTCATACCCCCACGCTGTGCTGGCCGTGCGGGCTCATTAGACCATACTTCACCACGCTGGTCAGTCAGTGCGGTATGGTGCAGGCGAAGACGCATAGACGGTGGGAACATGGGAGTACCGTACAACAATGCTGTTGTTGCGGCGTGTTAATATCGGTTTTCGCGTACATATAAATGCGTCGTTAAAATCGCCACTACCCGACACATCCATTTAGTAAGGTTTGTCAGGTTAATAAAACATGCCAATTCGTTACTAGTACATCACACCGGTGGTAGTACATCACACCGGTGTGCTGTACTACCAATTCATTACGCGAAAGCCTACACGTTCAAAGTTGTTGAATTTTTTTGCACCACAGAGGGCCCGCATACCATATAACCCGAGTTGGAATCCTGCCCATGGCTCACGTTCAGAAGCGATGAGCTGAACCTCGGTCGCACGCAGCACTGGGTTGTCAGAGTGGGGACATCCCAAACATTATCCAGGCTCCCTCTTGCTTAGCCTCCAACATGTAACGACGTGAGTCGTGGAGGGGGGCGACATACTCCACTCGCACGTGTATACATGTACAAAAACAAAAAGACCCCGTATAGCCTCGACAGACTATTGGGGCAAGTGCTGTTAGCGAGCCACCTATGAAGGCCAGAACGGAAACAAGGTTGTGGTGTGACCAGCACCACGCCCGGCCGCCTTTGTATCCCGAGTGGCGATGTTTACACACCGCACCAGGTGCTCGTTTGCGGCTGAGTCGACATAAATGAGGCCCAGGGACGGTTCGGATAATCGTCGCTGGTGTCAGTGGCTGCGACTCTGAGCAGGGATTGAACTCGAGCCACCGGGTTCGTAGCGCAGCGTGCTAACCGCTACATTACCCATCCTCCCACTCACACACATAAAGACAAAGTCTCCCCAACCCCCGTATAACCTTGCCAGATGATTAGCACCTATGAAGGCCGGCACAGCACACGAGGCGGCTGGTGGACGGCACCACGCACACAGCGTTTGGACGGACACATGGACGGACGGACTCTTGATGAGACTGGGCTTTGTCAGAAAATCCACAGCTCTCCGAAAATCCAGAACTGGGCCCTCTAAGAAAACTCTTCCCGCCCCTCAGCACTGCGGGGGCCGGGAGGGGGGGGGGCGGGGGGAGCAGGGCCTGGGAAGTTGGGGACCCCCCCCCCCCCAAGGTAAATCTTCAGTGAGAGATGATTCCCTGCTTTACGAATGTATAAGCATGTATATGCTGTAGGATATGGGACGATACGTCACACACACTGTGTGTATATAATACCTGTGCATGTGCATCTCTATGGGTACACAATGTACGTCATTCAATGCCTTCAGGCAGTGGTTCTTAATCTGGGGGGGGTGAGAGATGGGCAGATTTGTCTTTCTTAGAAGGTACATAATCGAAAACACAAATTCAGCACGGGCACGTAAGTACAACTACGTTATAGTCTTGGTTCTTTCGGTAAAGTCACGTTGAAGGGAAACAATAAAATAATAAAACGTGACTTTACCGAAAGAACCAAGACTATGAATCACTGCAGTCACGAAAGCTTTAAATCAAATTACAACTACGTTGTTTCATCAAACCTATGCATTTATTAACAATATAACAAAAAAGAATACGATGTGTTAAAGCAAAGAGGGTGCAAGGCTGCGGTAAAGGTTAAGAACCACCGCTTTCACGGGGCTCGACGATGCTTCCGTTGCAGCCTCCCGCAATGCGTGGAGCGAGAGAATGCGCGCCAGCTTCTCTCGCCGGGACAAATCGGATTGAGGCCCCAGACACCACGCCTCCTATCCAACCAAGGTCAACATCTCTTGCTCTCAAGACGAAGGGGGGGTGTCTGCTCACTGCTCCCAGGATAGACAGACCCCACCACCTCCCCCTCCTCGCGCTGTCATTACTTGACCTTGCTGTGAACCCGCTCCCTCAAATGCGTCACGATTTTGACCGATGCGTCCCTTCACGCGACCTTAAATATATTTATATATTCCCAGGGAACTTTGCGAAATGTCAGCGATGTTTGTAATACACACGTCCTGGAATTTCCCACCCCCCCCCCTCCCACCCTGTCATAGGAATGTGGAAAGTCCACCGCTGAGCGGTGGTCGTTGCGAACAGGAACATTGTTTGCATGATGTCCGGGATAGGGGATGGCGTAATGGTCGTCTCATCCTAAGACTGACCCCAGCATCGAAACGCCGCCACCACCACCACCGCCACCACCTCGCCTCTTGTCGCTCCGTCGTGACCCATGACCTCGCCGTGAACCCGGCCCCTGACGCGTCACGGTCCTGACTGATGGTTGCTGCGCACGACCTCGCGGGCAACCCTCGGGAGCCTCGCGGAATGTCACCAGCGGCGCATGCGCGCACGGTCCGTGGCGATGTTGGTGCTCGCCGTAGGAATGTGGAATCGACGCCGCCGCCGTGGCGCGGCTTGATATTGAGCGAGCGAGCGAGCGGGCGGGAAAGAAGTTCGCCCCCGTGCATGCACAAGACGCTCGGGATTCTGTTTTTTTGTGAGCGTCAGGGATGCAGACGGGAAGGCGTTGTCAGAATGTGACGAACATCGGGAGGATTCTGCGATGGCCCCTGGTGTGATGGTTAGCAGACCGCACGTGCTGTCCAGAGGCGGTGGGTCTTGTCTCTCCGACGTGGCGGTTAAACCAGGTGGGGCTCTAAAGGAAGCTGTCTCTGGTGTGGGCCAATCAGTTTCAAATACGATGCATCATCATCATCTACTACCAGAGCATGCGATTTGTTTGTTTGCATGTTCACCGCAAGTACGCGTGGTTAATGCAGACATGATTCCTTGCAAAAGGTTTCAGTTTGGTGTTTTAACATATTAACCACAGCCGTAGCCATGGAGTCAACATTGGACCAAATCTTCCAGGGGGTCTGGGGGTCCCAACCCAGAAAAAATATAAAAATTTGAAAACTAATTTCCTGCCTAAAATATTTTAAAAATCACGAACACATGGGATGGACTTTTCATTTATTTTTTACAATAATGTCGAATAGTGTATTGTATTGCATTGCTCTGTTTTTACTTTTTTTACCATTTCTTAAAAACAGAATAACCATAACCACAATAATATAGTAATAGGTTTTATCCTTTAAACTGGCACAAAAACTGACACCTTTATTCAAGGCATCATGTTTGCAATAACCATAACACAAGCAGTCAAAATGCAAATAAAAGAGACAACTCTGATGATAATAATATGCACTGTCCTTGAATTTGATTGGTCCACACCCAAGACAGCTTTTCTTAGAGCCTAGTCTCCACTGGTGTTGGACCAGAAGACGCCAAAAGGCGTACAACTCAAGAACAGCGCACTATCAGAGTATTGAGGGCTCGGGGTGAGCATTTACATGAAACACAATAATATAACCTGAAATCTATGCATTGACTAATATGAAGACAAGTCCAGATATTGTGGCCAAGGTTTATCAAATTGTTATATTATAATTACGGCCTTGATCTAAACACAAACTGTTTTATTGACAGAAAGGGTAAAACCTATGCCGATATTCTCAAACGATTTAATTTACCGCGTAAAGCCCACTGAGCTATGAACTCCTTCTCAGAGGCGCCCTGGTCGCATGTGATGATGATCGCTCATCATCATTAGCACACGTGAGACTTGATCGTAGCAGCCAAATAATCAAATCGCGTGTTGATTCTCAATGTGGAGGAGGAAGCCAGAGAAGAATCCAACGGCCATCGTTCGTGTCCGGGATCGAACCCACGGGCTCCTGCAAAGCAGACGAGGAAGAGGAGGCAACACGTTTCTTAAATATCCCCTTCATCTGTCCAGCCAGCAGTACAAACGGTGTACAGCCGCAGTTAGTCGATCGCCGGGTCGCGTGTGGTGGGGTAAAGTGTGGGTGGCTCACACCTCCTGCAAGACGACAGGCTAGCGTGGAAGAGTAGGCCAAGGTACCCCCTCTCGAGTTTGCTCCTCTAAGAGCTGCCACGAGTGGAGGCCCTCTTATTGCCGGCAGTGGCACGAGCAAGTGAATGCAGCACTGCACCTTTACCCTTATGGGGGGTTTTTTTGGTACTTTTGACGAATCATAAATACCATGCCAAGCATGGAATCTAACTGCAATCAGTTGTTATACATTTACCACACCTCGTATTAGCGCGATTGGCTACGTTCGGTGCGAAAGAAGTTCAAAATACGTACGTACAATTTACCCTTTGCTGCTTCCTCTAGCGGAGACGTCTTCCGCCAGCAGTGGAGTGAGCCCAGCAATTGCAGGGCTGCTCCTTTACCTGTCGCTGTGGCCAGAGAGATGCGGGGATAGCCCAGGATGAAGGAGTTTAATCTCGGGACGTGTCAAGAGCAATGGTTATCCACCCTGCGTGTCGCGCGCGGATGCACCCCCTACCCACCCCGGTACCATCACTCTCACCGCAGTTGCGTAAACACCGCCGCTCGCCTTTTTTCGACACACATGTGATGTGGGCCGATTGATTTATATCGCAATCATCGCCAGCCGTGATTTATCCACTGCTAGATGAAGGTAGCAACCCCCCTCCCCCTCCCCTCTCCCTCCCCACCCCCTCCCCACTCTCCTCCCCACTCCCCAAATACAAAGATCCCCCGTGAATCCTTAACAGACTGTTGGGGTCAAGTGCTGTTAACGAGCACCTATGAAGGCCGGCATGGCACACGGAGGGGCGTGTGTGGCAAACACCCCCAGTGGCGATGTTTACTACGCACCGCACCAGGTACTCATTTGAGGCCGAGTCGACCTAGGGGAGGTCCAGGACCGGTTCCGATAATCGTCACCTGTGTTGGCATCGAACTCTGGTTCCCGGGATCGCAGCGTATCGCGCCAAGCACGACACTACCGCTCCCCCCGCATGAACACGTCACACACAGCGACTTTATCACCTTAAATACCGCCCGTTGATATTGATTAAAGCAACGTTTTTTTTATATTTTCTCCATCTCAATATATTCCCTAATCACTATTTGCCAGTAATCTGTCTTTGCGTGAAATATATATAAACATGTCAACCACTACGTAAATTATTACACTCCTCGCGAGCGTCTCTGAATGCAAATCTAATCTTTACCGGAGTCTCTGTTTGCGTGGCCACGTGCTAATTAAAGGCCGATTCATCTCATCACCATAATTGACACGTGCGGTCCATGATACTGCCGCTCAAGGGATTGACGTCTGCTGGAGCGACGGCTGTGCAATAATAGAACGATGGTGAATTTAAACCAATTACGTGGCGATGCTGCTGCTGCTGCTGCTTCTGCGTTGGAAATGCTGCAACAACCACAATCAACAACAACAGCAAGACAACAAAACACACCCAAAGCGTTCGTCACGAACGATAGGGCCTGACAAAAAGTAAATATCGTAGTAGACGTTTCGGGTAACGACCCTTATTCGCAGCACATCGACAGGCCAGAGAGGTATCGCGAACCTGGAGGCATGCTTCACTTTTTCTACTCATGCCTTTGATGATAATTCATCCAACGACTGTCCGCTACTCATGCTGCTGCTCCTGACGATGGTGCCCGCCCCCCAAATCACGGGGCCCGGGGCGGTCACCCAGATTCGCCGTACCCCAGGGACGGGTCTCGTTGCGGCTGCTAAGTCGCGTAACTCGCGTGGGGGCACCCCCAACCCCCTCCCCCCAAATCACGGGGCCCGGGGCGGTCACCCAGATTCGCCGTACCCTAGGGACGGGTCTCGTTGCCGCTGCTAAGTCGCGTAACTCGCGTGGGGGCAGAGCTACGAGTTTTTGGGCCCCCTTGGCAACCACCGCGAGAGAGGCGAATAACGGAGCGCCCCTGCAGCGTTAAATGTCCGAGACCGTGAGCGGAAACGATGGCGGTTTGGCGAGAGGAGCCTGCGACAGGTGCGTTAATAGCATCGGTGCCGAGACAAATCACATATTGAGGCCCCCATCTGACTGAATGTCACCCCCCCCCGCCCCACCGAGCTGATAATGTAGTGATGATTCCCACTGCTGCTGCATTACATGATGATGTATATTTGACGACGATGCCGATGTTTGGTCATGATAACGCTCTTTAGACTCATGGAAGGAAGGCAGGAAAAAACACAGACGCTAGGACTCAGCGAGGCCTTCGCTGGGGTCAAAAATAAATAAAATAAATCTGAATACAGAACGATGAGAATGATTGCGTGAGGCTGCTAATTGTCGGCAAAACACGAATTAACTGGAAAGGTTGAAACCTCGTGCAATGCGAGGGTCTGGGCCACTCTGAAGGGCCATAAGTGGCAGGCCGATTAGCATTTAATTGGTCTGCTATAATTATCAATTTGCATTTAATGTCCTTGGTTGTAATTGGGCGCAATCTATGAGGCCGTAATTGTGTCACGCGGTTGTGATCGATGTTAAATTTTTGTTCAATGTTGGTCCAATCCGTTGACGTTGCAATTGTTGTGGTATTGTTACTCTTGTTGTGTTTGTGTTTGTGTCGTTGTTTATTTACTGTCGGCTGTTGCTGCTGTTGTTGTCGGTACCGTTGTGGTGAATCGTTGAAGTTGTGATGTTTGTTGTTATTTAGTTTGTGTTACTGTTGCTATTGTTGTTGTGGTGGTGGTGATTTTGTTTATTATTGCTTGGCTTGTGTTGTTAATTGGTTTGTTAATTGGTGTGTGTTGTTGATTGGCTTGTGTTGTGGTTGTCACAGACGCCATGAAGGGAAAGGCCAATCGGAATTGGAAGGGAGGGAATGACTGTGGTCTTCTCGGCCACAGTCATTCCCTCCCTTCTCTTCGCTTGCGAAACGTGGACCCCCCCCCCCTAATGGAGCATCTTCGCCGGTTCGAAACATTTAGGCTGGCCTGCCTACGATCCATCCTGGGTTTAACCAGGCTGGATTGTGTGAGGAGCTCACAAATCCTTCAAAGATCTGGGCAAGGTCCCATCGGTGAGCTCCTCCGGCGGGCAAGGCTGCGATGGCTGGGTCATGTAGCCCGCATGCCCAGCCACCGCATGCCGAAACAGCTTTTGTTCGGCCGGATTGAGGGGGCTAAACGGGCGCGGCACGGGCTAGAGAAGAGATGGAGTGATGTGGTACAGGAGGACGTGGAGCTGAGTGGACTTGCCGATGACTGGTACCAGCGGTGTCAAGATCGGCCTCTGTGGAGGAGGCTTGTGAAGGACGCTACTGGGCAGTTGGAGGTAGTCGCCCTCCAACAACAACGGAGGGCTGAGGAACGACGCTCACAACAACGAGCGGAGCGCCGGGTTGGCTAAAGCACAGCAGGTTGGCACAGTAGGGGGCACAGGTGGTGCATCAGCCAGTCATCTCAGTCAGTCGACCCGTGGCACCTGGGTCTGCCCCGTGACCTGCCAGCGGGCGTTCGACACTTCACGTGGCCTCAGGGTGCACATAGCCAGGCACAAGCGTCGTTGTGACGTCACCGCCACTTAGTGGTGAATGGCGGTTGTTGTTGTTGTATCGGTGTGGGTATTTGTGTGTATGTGTCTGTATCGGTGTGGGTATGTGTGTGTCTGTGTCCGTATTGGTGTGGGTATTTGTGTGTCTGTGTCTGTATCGATGTGGGTATTTGTGTGTCTGTGTCTGTTTTGGTGTGGGTATTTGTGTCTGTGTCTGTATCGGTGTGGGTATTTGTGTGTCTGTGTCTGTATCAGTGTGGGTATCTGTGTGTCTGTGTCTGTATCGGTGTGGGTATTTGTGTGTCTGTGTCCGTATTGGTGTGGGTATTTGTGTGTCTGTTTTGGTGTGGGTATTTGTGTGTCTGTGTCTGTTTTGGTGTGGGTATTTGTGTCTGTGTCTGTATCGGTGTGGGTATTTGTGTCTGTGTCTGTATTGGTGTGGGTATTTGTGTGTCTGTGTCTGTTTTGGTGTGGGTATTTGTGTCTGTGTCTGTATCGGTGTGGGTATTTGTGTGTCTGTGTCTGTATCGGTGTGGGTATTTGTGTGTCTGTGTCCGTATCGGTATGGGTATTAGTGTGTCTGTGTCTGTTTTGGTGTGGGTATTTGTGTCTGTGTCTGTATCGGTGTGGGTATTTGTGTCTGTGTCTGTATTGGTGTGGGTATTTGTGTCTGTGTCTGTATCGGTGTGGGTATTTGTGTGTCTGTATCTGTATTGGTGTGGGTATGTGTGTGTCTGTGTCTATATCAGTGTGGGTATTTGTGTGTCTGTGTCTGTATCAGTGTGGGTATTTGTGTCTGTGTCTGTATCGGTGTGGGTATCTGTGTGTCTGTATCGGTGTGGGTATTCGTGTGTCTGTGTGTGTATCGGTGTGGGTATTTGTGTGTCTGTGTCTGTATCAGTGTGGGTATTTGTGTGTCTGTGTCTGTGTCGGTGTGGGTATTTGTGTCTGTGTCTGTATCGGTGCGGGTATTTGTGTGTCTGTATCAGTGTGGGTATTTGTGTCTGTGTCTGTATCAGTGTGGGTATTTGTGTCTGTATCGGTGTGGGTATCTGTGTGTCTGTGTCTGTATCGGTGTGGGTTTCTGTGTGTCTGTGTCTGTATCGGTGTGGATATTTATGTGTCTGTATCGTCGTGGGTATCTGTGTGTCTGTATCAGTGTGGATATTTGTGTGTCTGTATCGGTGTGGTATCTGTGTGTCTGTGTCTGTATCGGTGTGGGTATTTGTGTCTGTATCGGTGTGGGTATCTGTGTGTCTGTATCGGTGTGGGTATTTGTGTGTCTGTGTCTGTATCGGTGTGGGTATCTGTGTGTCTGTGTCTGTATCGGTGTGGGTATTTGTGTGTCTGTGTATGGGGATCGCTAGTGCAGTGGGTATTTGTGTGTCTGTATATGGGGATCGCTAATGCAGTGGGTATTTGTGTGTCTGTGTATGGGGATCGCTAGTGCAGTGGATATTTGTGTGTCTGTGTATGGGGATCGCTAGTGCAGTGGGTATTTGTGTGTCTGTGTATGGGGACCGCTGGTGTAGTGGGTATTTGTGTGTCTATGTATGGGCGTCTTTAGTGTAGTGGTTATTTGTGTGTCTGTGTATGGGGATCGCTAGTGCAATGGGTATTTGTGTGTCTGTGTATGGGGACCGCTAGTGCAGTGGTTATTTGTGTGTCTGTGTATGGGGATCGCTAGTGCAGTGGGTATTTGTGTGTCTGTGTATGGGGACCGCTAGTGCAGTGGTTATTTGTGTGTCTGTGTATGGGGATCGCTAGTGCAGTGGGTATTTGTGTGTCTGTGTATGGGGATCGCTAGTGCAGTGGATATTTGTGTGTCTGTGTATGGGAATCGCTAGTGCAGTGGATATTTGTGTGTCTGTGTATGGGGATCG